AAAATAATGCTAAAAATCATATTATTTTAGGGGTGACTCAGTTTTGTTTCTAATTTGCTAGTTACTAAGAATAAAAGTTCAGCATGATGCTATCATTAAGTATATTCCCCAATTTGTATTTTCCCTTCTTACTGAACATCTTTTTTACAAGTAATATTTCACTTTCATATCCAGCCTACTTTCCCAGTCAAAAATAAAAGCAAAGTCCTAACTCTTGAAGTAACAGAAAGATAAATAATCAAGACAACAGTTATAAGTAATATACTCTTTACTATCCATTTGTTCTCTGTTGGAACTATTTGTAAGACACATTTCATTTATGTTACACATTCATACACTGTCTCTTGATTGAATGGAGGATTGCCTGTCCCTACAGGATTCCAGACTTCCTTGTTTGCTTGATGTTAGTGATTTTGGTTCTTGATCCTCTTTTTTGGCTGGTACTTTTATGTATTAAGTTTTCTGAGATACTCTCCATACCACCCCTTTTTTCTCCCTACTCCAGTACTTCCTAATCTGTTGAAGAAGAGGGAGAACTTGAAGCTACCAGGGAAAAACAGATACTGAACTAGTGACTAATACCTTAGAGAAGCAGAATCTAGCCTGAGGAGATTGACAGTTCCAGGAAATGAAGAGGCACTGAAGCTTTCTGGTGGCTAGTTACCTCTATTTTCAAAGGTCTTTTCATTTACTTCCCAGTTCTTGGCAGGTCTAAGGATGGTCAAGGACCAATCTATCCTTAGATAACAGCAAGTATGAAAAAGGACTGAGGTCTGAACTGAGTTAAACACTACCATGTGTTTACTGGAAAAACAGCTGACACAGAACTAAATAACTATAAGTAAGAAGGTAAGCTTTACTGGAAATAAAATCATTAGTTATAATAAAACAAGATAAACCAGATCTCTAAAGTTTGATATTTTAAAAACTGGACAACAGAATAAAATGATGCTTTTATGATTTACCTGCAAATCCTGAGCACAATACAGCAATAGCTATAGCGCCAAACCCTAACAATGGATTCTGTTCCACCTGCAATAGTAATGTTTTAAGTTACTTTCAGTGAGTGAATAGAGAATTCATCCAAGAGACCAAATAAATGAATATAAAAATTTGTGTTACATTTCTACTGAAAGTATTCACCATATCAGAAATGGCTATTCTATAGACTAACACAGGACCAAACAAAAGGCCATCTAGAGATTAACCAAAGCACTTAATTTAAAAGCGTGACCCTCAAATTGCAGTCATAGTAAATGCTTAAAATAAATGTGTGCGTACTTCCTAATAATCATGGGCACCCTAGCATAGACTTTGCATAGTCAGCCTGCCTCCCAGTGGGGTGGTAACTTCTGCCACCACCCCAATTCAGGTCTTCATAGTATCAATCATAGAAACATTAACAGTTTTAACTTGTTTTAAGATTTCCCACTTCATTGAATTTTTATCAAATATTAATAGCATACATGCTATGTACCAGACATACTGTTATATACTAAATGAATATTTATGAGAGTATATTTAGTATATAACATATACTGTTATAAATGAATATTTAATATATTTAGTATTTATATTTAATATATAAATATAACATATGCTAAATATTCATTTAGTATATAACATACTAAATATTCATTTAGTATATAATATAGTATATACTAAATGATGCACAGCTGTGGTTCCTAAATAGTTCATGGATAGAAGAGATTCAGATATATGTAATATGTAATAATACTGTGCTAACAGATACATATATATGGGCTCCAACCTATTGCTTCAGCTTTAGTTGATTTCCTTTCTCTTCACTAAAGTAATCCTCAGGAGCTTTCATCAGTCTTTCCTCAGAGATAAATATACTCTCTGGACTAACAATGAAACTAAAGAGTTGAGATGTGTGACTAGTATGTATGACAAAGCACACACCCTGTTCGGAATAAATAAGCCTGATATAAGGAGAGTATTAGTTCATGTTAAGTACCTGAAAAAGAAAGGTTGGTCTAAAATATCTGCATGAAGATCAAAGGAGAAATAGAAGATACTCTCGACTGTTGATCCCTGGATCAACAGCAACATCATCACCTGTGAACTTGTTAGAAATAAGCATTGATGTGCCCTACCCAAGACCCACTTAATCAAACCATGGGGCTGGAGCCCAATAATCCACTTAACCTTCCATTTGATTTTGATGGACACTAAAGTCTGAGAACCAATGCTATAGACTACTCTTGATACACACGAGTGCTTTCCTCATACAAAGTACAGGACTGGCATATTTATGAGGGAAAAAAATGGTGTGAGATTTCACCTATCCCAACAACTAAACTGCTAGTAAAGTCAAACTATTAAAAATAGTATGTGATAAATTCTTGGCTTGCTTGTCTGCCAGTTCAGTCTCTCTACAGTTAGGAAAAACAGTTATAGACATGGCTTCCCTGGCATTTAATTCTAACTAATAAGAAAATTCCAGGTGATGAAGTGGAAGTGGTGGAAACTTTGAAGAACCATGTCATTTTACCATGAGTAATAGCCAAACAAAGCATAGTTAAGAAACGTAAGTGCCAGTCTTAAAATCAAAATTCAAACAAGTAAAATTTCAAGTTAGCAGTCTATAGCTAGTAGGAAGATGGTTTAAGAGAGATAAGAGGTTCTGAAGAATGAGATTCTGATGAAGAGTAAATATATATATACACACATAAAGAAACCAATGTTACTAATTAAGAGCCTCTTCAATGAATTCTGATTTTATAAGAACATACAAAAGAACTGCAGTGCACTTAACCAAGAGGAATCTAACCAGGAATTTTAGTATCAAGAATTTGGAAACTCAGAGTAAGCAGAGACTTACAAAAATAATTTTAAATATTAAAAGGCTTCTAAAAGTATGTTTAGGTCAGGGAAAAAAAGGGTATGTTTCTTAGGCTAGATGCTATACTGTTAAATGGCAAGAAAACAGGTACCCAAATCTATTTTCCTTTTCCCCTGTGAATAATTTTAAATAATAAATAATAAACATATTTAAAAGGAAACTAAAGTCTAAGACATTTGGTTTGTTATTATGAAAATACCTAGCTAACTAAAACAAATTCAAAAGTATCTTGACAACAAACAGTAGCAAATCAAGATATTGATAACTATGTCTTTGAGGAATAATGGAGAATGGAAGCATGCCAGAAAACATGAATTGGGCACATACTGTCCACTTTTTCCAAAAGGCTCAGAAAAGAAAGCTGCATAAATTATAGACGCTGCTTGCAACTGGTAAGGCAGCCCAGGACAGTTACCAAGAGCACAGGCTCTGGAGCCACACTGCCTGGACTCAAGCATTGTGACCTGACACATGACTAACCAACTTCATCTGTCAGTTTCCTCATCTAAAATGGAAATGAAAACAATACTAGCTTCAGCCCTCACAGATACTCAGTTGGTTCAAGAGTGTCACCATGATACACCAAGGTTACAGGTTCCATCCCCAGTCAGGGCACATACAAGAGTCAACCAATGAATGTGTAAGTGGAACAACAAATCAATGTTTCTCTTTCTCTAAAATCAATAAATGAAAATTAAAAAAAAACTAATGCCAGCTTCACGTGGTTGTAGGAATAACTGAGTTAAATGCAAAGCACTTAGAACAGGGGTATCAAGCTCATTTTCACTGGGGGACCACATCAGCCTCGAGGTTGCCTTCAAAGGGCTGAATGTAATTTTAGGACTGTATAAATGTAAGTACTCCTTAACTAGGGACAAGGAGCTCGGAGCTGCCACCAGATAGAAACAAGGTGCCAGGCCAAATATAAAACAAGGTAGACTGCTGGATTTGGCCCATGGGCCTTGTTTGCCACCTGTAACTTAGAACATTATTGGTATTTAGTGCTGTATAACTGATTACAGCTGTTACTGTTATTATTGATTATTAGCAAAATGGTTGAACAGATGACTTAAAGAATTTAGAAAGTTTAATGGTCATATCACCAGAAAACAATATGGCTTCCCTAGGAGTGAGACATACCAAATTTCCTTATTGAAATGATTCCTAGAAAGCAATGAGAGGAATTCCATAGATAATGTTTACCAAGAAATTTGACAGATTTGCATAATATTTTTTGTGGAGACAGAAATTTAGTGAGGAAAATAGTACAATTCTATACATAGCTGAGTGAATGCTCATACAGCACAACCAAGCTAGACTGACAACCAAAACCATATGAATTGAGCCACCTAGGAAACGTCTTCTAGGCCCCATCAAGCCCTCAGCTGACTGCAGTCCTTCCTGACACCTTCACAGCTACCTTCAAGAGATCTTGAGCTTGCTTGGCTGGGCCTGGCAGAGGGCAGTGAGGGGCAGTGGCTGACAGCCCACCATGCTGAGTGCAGCATGCGGCAGGCTCGCCTTAGCGTGGCACAGTACACACGCGCTGCGGCGTGCTGCCGTCTGCGGTCACCTGTAAGTGCCTGGGCAGGTCAGGGTTGCAGCACTTGGCTGACCAAAACGAGAAGACTAAGGAACTGCCCAGCGCCGTTGACCTGGCACTGCTGGAGTTCTTGGTGTGCCCACTTTCCAAGAAGCCGCTCAGGTATGAAGCATCGACAAACGAATTTGATTAATGAAGAGTTGGGAATAGCCTATCCAATTATTGATGGGATTCCTAATAATGATACCTCAGGCAGCTAGGATGACACATCAGAACAAGAAGGAAGAAGATATGGAGCAGCATTAAATCATAATTAAAAATTACATTTTAAAAACTAAATTTTCGCCCTGGCTGGCGTAGCTCAGATTGAGCCCACTCAGATTGTGCGCGGGCTGCAAACCAAAGCATCGCAGGTTTGATTCCCAGTCAGGGCACATGCCTGGGTTGCAGGCCATGATCCCCAGCAACTGCACATGGATGTTTCTCTCTCTCTCTCTTTCTCCCTCCCTTCCCTCTCTAAAAATAAATAAAATAAAATCTTTAAAAAAAAACACTAAATTTTCTTAATACTGACTACCTTTTAAAAAAGTCAGGGTGGCAGGTAATAAGTGGGAGAGAAGAATGTTTCTGTATCTTCCTACATTGACTGTCCTTATTCCATTGGTCTCTTTAGCAGGACTGTTCTACTCGGCCTCTATGGAAGAAAACTTCCCACAGGGCTGCACAAGCACAGCCAGCCTCTGCTTTTACAGCCTGCTCTTGCCCATTACCATACCAGTGTATGTGTTCTTCCACCTTTGGACTTGGATGGGTATTAAACTCTTTAGGCATAATTAATGCAACCAGAGCCAAGATGGTATATACATTAATAATAAGTCTTGAGCATCTGTCTCTGAAAGCTCAACTACATGGAAATACTGGAAACCAACTTAATTTTCAGGAAAGATCCTATACCTTGCTTCTGTCAAAGATTTAGAGCTAAGGGAGGCTTAAGCTGCAGAAACTTCTTTAGTATACTTTGGTTCTGCTCTTATTTTTTGAAGGTTCTAATTCATAACTGCTGTATCAGAAGCAATTCAACACTGTGGCTTGTTGGAAATGAACAACTCCAACCATCATCTAATGACTTTATTTCATTTCCCTTTCATCTAAAAGTTAATAATTTGAAATTTTATGTTTGTTTTAGAAACTCTTTGGTGAAGTCACATGTTACAGATAACTGAAATAATTCCAAAGGACCTGTGTTGCAGCAGTTGTAAAGAAATGCATTGGAACTACTGTGATATAAAACTATAATAAAATGGAAATTTCATGAACTTGCAAAAAAAAGAGATCTCAAGCCAGAAGTACCTAGCTAAGGCACCCTCAAATCTCTGACCCATAAAACTGAGAGAGAATAAATGTTTCTTTAAAAAAAGTGTCAACTAAAGAAAGTCTAATGGTATAGCCTCAGAACTCTGGTCCTGTGCTATCTAAAATTTTCAGTGACAACCAAGACATATTTGTCAAATCTGTAGAAAGCATAATACTCAAAAGAAAAAGCTAATAATGGATAAGGACTGGGAAGACCTCAAAGGCCTGAAAAATGACCCAAAGCTAAGTGTAATAAATACAAACACATCCTGAATTTTGGTTTAGAAGAAGCCCGCTGCACATGATACATTTGAGATAAACTATTTGTGTGAAACAGCTACATGTAGTTGTGTATAATCAGTTATAAAATGGATACCCCCCCCAAAAAAACAAATATAATCTGCTGACTTAACAAGTCCCTGGTATTTAGAACAAAATGAGGTAATTAGCAAGTTATCCCTCACACTGCTCAGTCAACATCTAGAGATAATGTGGAATACATATAGGAGAGAAATACAGGGAATATTGGAGCAAGAGGCAGGGATCAGGAAGTCTCTGAAAACCATATAGGTGAAATCACAAGGTTGTCTCAGAGAGGGGAAAAGGACTTAGAAAGTAGAGATATGACACTGTCCTCAAACATTCAGAGGATATATGGGAATTTGTAGGAATCGGAGTTATTTTGACAAGAACAAAGACAATGAGAAGCAGTTACAGGAAGCCAAACTCTGTTTAAAGTATGAAATAACTTTCTAGAACAATTTTCAACCTTTTTCATCTTATGGCACACATAAACTAATTACCAAAATTCTGCAGCACACCAAAACTACGTTTTTTTGCTAATTCAACAAAAAACATAATTTTGATGAACAGCTATTCTTGTGTTGGCTGTTGTCATGCTTTTATTTGATGATCTCAGGGAAAAGAAGTCAGTGCCCCAGGCTAAATAGTCAGGTATTGCATGTTTTAAAAATCCTCATGGCACAACAGTGTACCTGCCACAGTACAGCAGTTGAATATCACTGTTCTACAGGGATCCAAAAGTAGGATAAGCTGCCCTGGGCTCCACTTTAGTTTACTGTATTTTTCACATACATTACCCATGTGAGTGGACCTAACATCTCTAATGGTGTGAGGTATTGGGTTGGCCAAAAAGTCTGTATCTTTTTTTCCTGTAAAATGAAAGACACATTTTTCATTCTCTTTAATAATTTTATTAATCTGGATATTTTGAGTATGTTGCTTATCTCCCAGGTGATTAAACATTGATTGTTCTCAAGTAATGATTTGATTGCTATCAACTTCAACTGACCTACTCCACCATGGGGCTGTAACACATTCAGTCAGTCACAGCACCTTCTCTATACACTGCAAAAATCTTTTTTGTGTGTTTCAGTTGTGTTTTTACCTTTCTTGAAATAATAAAGCATAATGTGCAGAAAATATTGCATATTTTCTTCCATCTTCACTATTAAAATGGTTATACAAAAATTCACCAATTTTGGTAAGTTTTTTTAAGTGCACACTGATATGACAGCTGTCACAATACAATCTAACAAAATTGTTTTGAATGAAGTTAAAGGCAAATAAACACTCACTACTAGAGCCATCTTCTAGAAAAAAACAAATGAACTTTTTGGCCAACCCAATATTATTTAAAGTTCACATTTAACTTATAATTACATATTTGCCTTACTTCCCAACAAATTATTTCTCTGTAGGTCTGCAACTGAGTTAAATGTGCAGTGCATATTTGATCGGTTTTTTGAAATGTCACCAGGAGTATCAGCATGTTTAAACAGATAAAGACAATAAATATTAATCTAAAACTCATTTTTCTAGAGAAAAAATCTTCACTAAACTAGAGAGTAAGTATCTAATAAAAAGGAACTGACTCCCTGTTTTCACAACTTCTCCTTCTCTCTCCAGATGCCCTGTACTCCTAAGAGAACTTCCACTTACTAAAAGTTGAAGATAGTCTTCAGTTGTAGAAGGAAACTAATAACTTTTAGAAAGGCATTCACTAGAGTTCCACTTCCTACTGCTCTTTAGGAAAATAACTGATTAAAGAATATAACATTTTTTAGCCCTGGCTGGCGTAGCTCAGTGAATTGAGTGCAGGCTGCGAACCAAAGTGTCGCAGGTTCGATTCCCAGTCAGGGTACATGCCTGGGTTGCAGGCCATGACCCCCAGCAACCGCACATTGATCTCTCTCTCTCTCTCTCTCCCTCTCTCTCTCTCCCTCCCCCTTCCCTCTCTAAAAATAAATAAATAAAATCTTAAAAAAAAAGAATATAACATTTTTTTAAATCAGGTATGTACCTTAACATTTAACTTTTGGCAAACTAGAAGTTGTAAGTCAAGTATACTTTTTGCCCTATTTTAATTATCAATTATCAGTAAAAATACTACTCCCTCTAATCCCTATCACTGACAGTGGGAGTGTATGCAAAAGGATTAAAAAACTTTTATGAGGTAAGGGGTAAAAATTAGATGGACAAAACCTTGCCCAGTGTTTCTGAGAAAATGTCTAAAAGAGACCTCGAAGTTCTGAACATGCACTCATTGTATAGAAGTTGTCACAATTTTAGTCACAAGTTAGCTATTAACTATAACTTTGGACAAGTTACTTCACCTCTCTGGACTTCAATTTCATCATCCATAAAATGAAGGGGATGGATAACATTAACATACCTTCCATCTCTAACATATTTTTATGCATATTCCCCTCTAAAAAGAAAGGAAGCTAGTAAATTACATCATCTTTAATATATATCCTAAGGGGATTAAAAAAACCTATCTGTAGGGCAAAGATTATTTTTAATCAAAGAAACATACTTGTGCCACATTCATCAATGTGACCAAAGTGTGTAAGACACAGGAAGTTTTCTATTTTAGTTATGGTAACCATTTTGTTTCTTACCATGACTTTTGTAGCTTGGGCTGGTTTCCACTGTACAAGTGTAACTCCTCCACACAGCATAAAAACTGAAATCCACTGTACTTTGCTGAGTGTTCGGTTTAACATTAAAACAGTACATAAAGCAGTACAGGGAATCTTCAATTGGTAAGTCACCTGGAAACAAAATAATAAATTAATGAACTTAGTTAACATTAGTCTCTCACACAGCTATTTCTGATACAATTAATAGAATTATCAAGAAAAACATTTGATGTGATAAAGGGTTAATAAAAATAATTTTACCATACAAAAACATTTTTTAAGACTCTGGTCTTTTCATTATCGTTTATGCCACTTACCTGGTACACTGCTGCATCCAGGTTGCTAAGAGCTAGGAAAGCCATGTTGTTCTGAACAGCATATACTAATGAGGGCACACTTAACTTCATCAGTTCTTTGGGGCTCCCCAAGACATTTTCTCTTAAAGATGTCTTCAATCTACCCAGACTACCAGTTTCTCTTTGAAAACAAAAGAGGGAGATGAGAAGGAGCTGAGGAATAAAATTAAAAGGCATCCATTTGATAAGAATTCTTCATACATAGGATAGTTATAAGTCCATCGGTATAATTTAGCAAATTTATCTTTTTACAATTTTCAACTAATTTTAGACTTATTAAAAGAAATAGAGCAACAATTACATTATAAAACAATTATAAGTTCTCTTTGGGAAAATACAAAAACAATTAGGTTTACCATCATCAATCTCTAATCAGACTTGTAGAGTTTTTGAGTATATTAAGTAACGAGACAAGAAACCATAAGTGTGGATATTACCTATAAAAATTTAATTTAATCCCTGAAACTAACTGCTATTACATCAAGTTTACCATGATTATTTTTTAAATTGGGTTGCATATCCATTTTTAATTTTTTTTAATTACAATCGATTTAAATTGCAAGCAAAAGAAAAAGGCTTTGGTAGCCATGGAAGTTACTTGGGATAGGAATTGATAGATTCAGATCAATATCATTTGCAAATTAGCTCAGTACTTATGAAGTATAGTAGACAATAAATCTTTAGGCAAATTCTCATAAAACTCACGTACATATCATAATTTTGCAGGAAATCAATAATTGACTAATACCAACAAAAATAAACTATATAATGAGTATAAAGTTCACTATTTGACTGCATATTGATTATGCATGATGTTAACAATTCTTATTTTTCCTCAGGAGGAACTATATAACCTCACTGTTTCCTCCATTGTAAAATCAGTTTACTTATTTCATGAAAATAAAAGTAAAACAACATTTTATAATAAGCATCAACATCAAAAAAAGTACTTGATTAAAAGGGTTCTAACTATAATTCACAATACCCTTAAGAGGATAATAATAACTTGTTGACCTGTTTCAACTCAAAATTTATATAGTTATAATAAGCCTCTAATTTTGGTTAACATACTTTACCTACAAAAATAATCACTAATGTTCTAAGGGGAAACAAAAAGTCCGTAATGTTAAACTGACTAGCTATGCCTATCCCATCCATGTACAACACCCCAGTCCCCAAGAACATGCTTAAGTGAGACAGGAAATTTGGCCTAGGTGACAGAAACAAGATACCTTCTTAGTTACAGACAGATCTTCCTCTGG